TATTCTGTCTTCTGTCAGGAAGAGAGCCATGTTGATCAACAACACCCTGGCTGTGCTGGGAGGTACTCTGATGGGTCTGGCCAAAGCTGCTGCCTCCTATGAGATGCTCATTCTTGGACGGTTCCTCATTGGTGCCTACTCAGGTACCCACAAGCACTACTGCCGTGCCCAGTGCCCAGCTCTCTTTGCCCACTCCTGCGCTCTGGGGTGAGAATGGGCAGCTGCCCTCAGTCTTTTCTTCTTCCCTCTGTCCAGGGTTGACGTCAGGACTGGTGCCCATGTATGTAGGGGAGATTTCGCCCACTCACCTACGGGGTGCTTTGGGGACGCTCAACCAACTGGCCATCGTCATTGGCATTCTGATTGCTCAGGTGACTGGGATGGCCTCATGGGGGTGGGTGGAGGGCTAGTCAAAGGGCTAGAGGGGGCCCTGGAGAACAGGAGGACGTAAGGGTAAGGGCCAGGTAGGAGGGCTGAGTGAGCAATCTGCCCTCTTCCTCCCTCTTCTCCCACAGGTGTTGGGTTTGGAATCCATGCTGGGCACAGCCACCCTGTGGCCACTGCTTCTGGCCCTCACAGTACTCCCTGCCCTCCTGCAGCTGGTCCTGCTGCCCTTCTGCCCTGAGAGCCCACGCTACCTCTACATCATCCGGAACCTAGAGGGGCCTGCCCGAAAGAGTGAGCGCTTACCCTGTAGTCCAGACTGGGGCTCTACCCCAACCTGTTTGGCTCTTCCTCTTCCCAGGTTCCCTGCCCTGCCCTCTCAGGCTGACTCTCCCACCCCCAGGTCTGAAGCGCCTGACTGGCTGGGCTGATGTGTCTGGAGCCCTGGCAGAGCTGAAGGAGGAGAAACGGAAGCTGGAGCGCGAGCGGCCACTGTCGCTGCTCCAGCTCTTGGGCAGCCGTACCCACCGGCAGCCACTCATCATTTCAGTTGTGCTGCAGCTGAGCCAGCAGCTCTCGGGCATCAATGCTGTATGTATGGAGTGGCCTCCAGGAAGAGCAAGGGTCAGGCAGTAGCTAAGAGGAGGGGAACGGGAGCCAGTACCTGCCATTAAAACAAAGGGTCAGTTGGACTTAGCATGGCTATAGGGAAGAAATGGACACCCCGGCCCCTGCAATCATCCTGTCCTCTCTCCCCACCCCTAGGTTTTCTATTACTCCACCAGCATCTTTGAGTCAGCGGGAGTAGGGCAGCCAGCCTATGCCACCATAGGAGCCGGTGTGGTCAACACAGTCTTTACCTTGGTTTCGGTAATACACCCTTCTGGAGTGGCTCCCATCCCAGCTTTACATCCCTGGGTGTGCTAGCAGTCCAACTCTTGGTTGTCCCAAACCTTCCCAGTTTCACTACCACTTGTAGCATTCAGGGCCCCTGCCACACCCTGACTCTCCCTGCAGGTATTCTTGGTAGAGCGGGCTGGACGCCGGACCCTCCACCTCCTAGGCTTGGCGGGAATGTGTGGCTGTGCTATACTGATGACTGTGGCTCTGCTTCTGTTGGTAAGGCTTGGGGACAGGGAGGGAGCACCAGCCCAATCCATAAGAACTGTCTCAAGAGATTCTATGTCCAGCTAGGGCCACTGGTTAGCATCTATGCTTTTAGTCCTGGGCCAACTAGTGTGCTAAGACCATGGGGGCTTGGATCAGGAGCCATTGGGACCATGGAGCCTCAGAAGCAATAATTCCTAAAGACCCTGCTTTAGAGGCAAGCAGGGAATTGAGCACTGTAAGTGCTAAAAAACCAGACATTCCCATACACTGAATCTGCTTGGGGTAGATAGAAGAATACCAGCGCTCAGACACGCTCGAGAGGCTGTTCTAACCAAGGGCCTTGCACAAGCTGCTAGGGGGCAAATTTCAGTCTTGCTCTTGGTTGAAGATAAAGGGAGACTCAGAAATGCCTGATTTGTATTTCCTACCTACCTCTTGGTCCCCAGGAGCAAGTTCCAGCCATGAGCTATATCTCCATTGTGGCCATCTTTGGCTTTGTGGCCTTCTTTGAGATTGGTCCAGGCCCCATCCCCTGGTTCATTGTGGCAGAGCTCTTCAGCCAAGGACCCCGACCAGCAGCCATGGCTGTGGCTGGTTTCTCCAACTGGACCTGCAACTTCATCATCGGCATGGGCTTCCAATATGTTGCGGTAGGTCCCCTACCCCAACCTTCTGTACTCTAGGCCAGAGGGGGCAATTTAGCTAGCCCACGTGCTTGCCAGTCAGGACCTCCCTCAGCTTATATATACTTGTGGTCTATAGTTCACTTTGGTGGATCCCTGGGCCTTGAGGACCACCAGCTCACTAGAATCATTGGAAAGAATGGAGCTATACTAGATCAAATAGCATCAGAAGTGCCTTTAAAACAAACTGAGGACCTTAGACTAGTGGAGTATATTATAAACTTGATTATTAATATTATAAATGACTGGGAATCTACCGAGCACTGTAATGCAGGATGAAGAGGATGAAACACTAAAGGAGAGTTGGGATTCAGAGAATGCTTCTTTTGCCTCTATACATTCTCATCCCTGGTGATTTCCCTTGTTCCACCCAGGAGCCACCTGTTTTCTGTAGTATCCCCACTTCCCTAGGAGGGCCTTTAACTCCTGGCTTGCTGGAGACCATCCCTGACTCCCCATCCCACTCTGGCAACACTTCTTTCTCCACCTGTCTCAGGAGGCTATGGGTCCCTACGTCTTCCTTCTATTTGCGGCTCTCCTGCTTGGCTTCTTCATCTTCACCTTCTTAAAAGTGCCCGAGACCCGAGGCCGGACGTTTGACCAGATCTCAGCTGCCTTCCGCCGGACCCCCTCTCTTTTAGAGCAGGAGGTGAAACCCAGCACGGAACTGGAGTACTTAGGGCCAGATGAGAACGACTGAGGGGCAAGGTAGAGGGGAGAGACAGCCTTCTCCCCCTGCCCGCAGAGAACCCCTCCTTTCCTCTGCAGCACTTTAACCCTCTCTTCCCCAGTACTTCCAGGTAGAGAAAATCCCATTAGCCTGGTGGGATTGGGAAGTTAGAGGGAAGGGTGGTCTAAGCACCCCCTTACTCCCCTCGTGTGGCTCTCATGGATTATTTATGTGTTGTGGTTAGGTTGTGGCCATCAGGGTGGGCCACTCCCCCTTTCTCCATAGCCCACCCCTTTCCTCCACCCCACTCAACCCAGCCTCAGCTCCAGAATACTTTCCTCTGGCTGGAGAGGAGGGATTGGAAGGAGGGCAGACTCAAGGACTGACTCTTCTAGTGGAGACCGAAACTGAAGCAGAAGGCAGGATGGGTCAAGTCAAGTTGACTGCCACCTCGAACTCCTCCCAGTCTGACTTCTGGCTACCAAGGTTCTTGAGAGCAGGGGGTTCTCCCCCTCCCTAAGTTCTGACCTCTTCCCTCACTGCAGCCTCAGCCTGCTCAGCCAGCCTTTCAGGAGAGGGAACACGACAGTACGGGCCAGTGTTTGACAAGAGGAAGGGACAGCAGGCTCCAGCCTCTAGACTTAGGACTCTGGGCCTACTCGATGGCTCACCAAAGCTGACAAGGAAAAGCCCACCTTGTCCCTCCTCTCCCATGGCTTTTGACCAACTATGGAGGAGAGGAGGTTTGAAAGACTACCTAGAAACACTGGGTTGGGAGGAGCCTTAGGATACTTTTGTATATATATATGCTTGAAAAAAGGGTAGGGAGAAGAAACCAAAGATTTATTGCACTAAATGTATATATCTCTCTCTATATATATATACATACCCACACACACACATAAAGTCATGGCATGAAGACCAGCGTCCTATTGTGGAAATACTCAGGGTAGGCTGAGACAAGGACCATAACTGCCCCCAATATCCTTCTTCCCTCTTGGTCCTGCCTTAGCTCAAGGCCTAAGAATGTTCTGGATGCTGTCATTCATGCCCCCACTTACACTTTCCACTTGCTGCTTTTATTAATAATAGAATGCTGAATAAATGGTAGCTACAAGCGCCAGGTCCTACTCTTAGCATCCTACAAGGTTAAGCTGTTATTGCCAGTCCAGAGATGGGGACAGCGACTGTCACAGGGATTGAGATTGTAGGCACTTGTTCATAGCTGCCCAGCTAGAGACATTTAGATCAAGGATTCAAGACCAGGCTCTGTCCACTGCCCACATCCCTCTCTAACAGCAAGTTACCAGTGATTCTCCAAATAGAAAAGAGGCAGAGACTGAGACAACAGGAAAGCCTGTTTTTGTTTTTACTGGAGGCTCAGGTGGCACGAAACAGTTCATAAAACGGCTTCAGAGGTGGGGCATAGAGGGGAAACAAAAAATAAACTGGGGTGGGAAAGAAAAACAACCAGGAATAGGTAAGAGCTGGCTGGTTCCTTCTCAGCCTGATTTAGGGGAGGGTGTTGGTGCCTCTGGATGGATACCTTCCTTTCAACCCTTGATAGGGGAGACAGAAAAAAAAAAGCACAAGTCAGTTGTTTTGGCCCTCCTGAGTCTCAGGAAAATGGGAAAAACTGGTGTTTTGATGTCATGAATTATGGGGAAAGGAGAGGGGAATGCTGGGAAGGGTACAGGTCAGTTGGCAAAACTGGCAGAAACCTGAAAGAGAAAAAGAAAATAGAAAAATCACGAATAAGTCCTCAACTTCTTGGTCATCCACCTGGGGTGTGCCCCCTGAGACTACTTACCAGGTGGTAGCTCTGGGTGTCCTTGCAGTTGGAATCACTCCAGTATGGTGGTGGGGGGATCCCCACTGTTGATGGGGGCTGAGGTCTAGAAAGAACAAGGATAGCTAATTGAGACCCGCTTATTCTTAGAACTCCAACTTCAATGATATACCGTTCTTCCATTCCCACCGCCCTCCCATTCTTCTGCAGCCAACTCCAAAGATTCACATCCACAAACTGATGCTGTGGCCCCAAGCAAAGCTGAGTGATTTAGTCAGCAGGGGTGAGAGGCTCGGGCACCTGCCAGCATTGAAGCCAGCAACATTAGCTCGTTGGTGTTAGCCTGCACTGAAGTGGGTAGGGTGGGCAAGGGGAGGGGAAGAGCAAAGAAAGAGAGAAAGAAGGGAAGGGGAAAAAAGATGGGAAGAAGAGAAAGGGGGAAGTCGGCCAGTCTATTCTTTCGTCCCACACCCTCCTTATTAGACATACCAAGGTCTTTACCTCAGGGACTGTGGGCTGCCGGCCAGGAGGCTGCTGCCTTCGCCGCTGGAAGTAGGGGCGGTTTCTTGGGCGCTGGGGCTCAGGCCTGGAACCATCAGTGGGGCCTTGGTTGGGCTTGGTCTCACCATCCCCACCTTCTGTGGTGGGCTGCTGGGGTGGCCTGGGGCGGAAAGGCCTAGGGAGAGAAGCAAGGGCCATGCAGAATTCAGGCAGCCCAGTTCAGGGAGCCCGCTCCTCAGGACTCCCCTAGTATACGGGACTAGCCTTCCCACAGTCCCAGAGCCAGCCTTCCAACCCCAAGAACCCCTGTTTCCCCCTGGGCACCTAAGCACTAATCTCAGATTGCCAGCCCTCCTTGCCACCAGCTTCAAGCTTCTGCTAGAATTGAACACTTCCCCTTCCTATCCTCCTGTCTCCTTGCCTCCGACACAAATATATGGTAATGGAAGAGGGTGGTAATGAAAGAGACAAGAGCCCCAGAAAGTGGGGAGGGAGGAACACTTACCTTCGGTACCTGGGCCGGAATCTGGGGGGTGGGACCCGCTCATCGCCCTGCTGTTGGTCCCCCTCCAATGGGGCCGTTTCTTTGGGTTCTACGCCATCAGTGCCCTACACCAAAACCAAAATCAACATCAGTGCCCTACTGAAACGAAAATCACTAAACCCATTGCCATCAAGTTGATTCCAATTCAGCAGCCCTCTGTTGTTGTTGTTGTTGTTGTTAAATGCTGTCGAGTTGGTTCCAACCCATAGCAACCCTGTATAGGGTTTCTGAGGAGCAGCTGGTGAGCTTGAACCGCTGACCTTATGGTTCAAAGCAACTTTGCAGTCCAGCGCATTAACCCACAGCACCACACCAGGACTCCTATGGCAACTCCATGTTGTTGTTGTTGTTGTTGTTAAGTGCCGTCGAGTCAGTTCCGACCCATAGCGACCCTGTACAGGGTTTCTGAGGGTGTAAATCTTTACGGGAGTAGAAAGCCTCATCTTTCTCCCGCGGAGCGACTGAGTTTTGAACCGCTGACCTTAAGGTTCGCAGCCCGATTCGTAACCACTACGCTACCAGAGCTCCATCAAATCGGTTTTGACCTATAGTGACCCTGTATAGGGTTTCCCAGGAGCAGCTGGTGAGCTTGAACCACCGACCTTGCAGTTAAAACGGTTTTGCAGTCTGGTGCGTTAACCCACAGCGCCACACCAGGACTAGTAAAACTGCCCCATAGGGTTTCTACGGCTGTTAATCTTTACGGAAGCAAACTGCCACATTTCTCCCACAGAGTAGCTAGTGGGTTTGAACTACTGACTCTTCAGTTAATAGCTAAGTGCTTAACCACTGCATCACCAAGGCGCCTATCAGTGTCCTAGGAACACACAAAGTCTGGGTGAGCTGTGAAAATGCCAGTTAGCCAGGACCCAGGTTATCACAGCCCTTCCCAATCCAATGTTCCACTTCCTTTGGAGACCCTGTGGTCTCTAGCCTCATTCCTTTTCCAGATCAGGGTAACAGGCTCCCCTATTCCCAGTTTCTCCTCACCTCTATAGGCTGCTGCTGGTTTGGGGGTCGAGGACCCCGCACAAATCGCCGTCGGTAGAAGAAGGGTGGTGGGCGCCGACGTCTGGGCCGCTGCCCAGAATCTTCAGCCCGCTCTCCTTCACTGCCTGGTTCTGTTCCACCTGAGGGAGCCTCTGCCACCATGGGTGGTGGGGCTGCTGGGCGAGGCCGGGGGATAAATCGGCGGAACCTACGGCGATTTGGGGCATAGCGGCTGCCCTTCACTGGTACCCCCCCAGGCCCAGTAACATTAGCAGCTTCTGCACCCTGGGAAGGAGGTAGAAAAGACCCATCAGAACTTGTTTCAACTCCAAATGTACATTCCCAAATTTGCTTGAAGCCTTCATCTTCCTCTGGCTAACCTCATCTCTGCAGCTTTCCCTTAGCTCCTCTAAGTCTGACTTCCTTCTACCTTTCCCCAGGGGAAGGAAGGGGCAACTTTTTCAACTCATCCTTTTGCTACTGAAGCCTCTTGAATTTAAGACTAGGGGGTTGGGTGAGATGGCAGCAACACGCGAGCCTCCATCCATTTTCTACTAAGGGCTGGCTCTGAGGTGTGTGCCTGGGAATAGGAGCCTATATGGAGAACAGACAGGAAGTGCTTGGTGAACTACTGAGGAGAAACCCAAATGTTCCTGAATGATGGCAGGGGCACATTTTTAAGGACATCTTAGAGCAGTCCTAATGTGTTAAGACTGGGTTAAGAACACAATCCCATTCCCACCAAACTAAAACAAAAAGCCAGTTGCCATTGATTCCACTCATGGAAGACTTCATGTGTGCACAGTAGAATTGCTCCAGAGGGTTGGAAGCAGAACATTAGACCTTTATTCCAAGGTGCGTTGGTGTGGGTTTGAACAACCAACCTTTCGGTTGGTAGTTAAGCACTTAGCCATTTGTGCCTACAGCCTGGGCTAGAAGTCAGAGCAAGAGCTGCGCTAGAAGGGTCAAAAGCCTGGGCTGACCTCAAGGCCACCCTCTCACAAGTTGGCAGACTTGATACCCTACAATAGCCCCCAAACCTTCTCTCCTTCCACGACATCAAATTCCACAGTCTCTCCATCTCCAACGCTCCGCAGAAACTTCCTGGGGTTGTTTCTTTTAATAGCTGTCTGGTTGGGGGGAAGGCCAGGAGAAAGGTGAGGGTAGCAAGACAGGAGTCTCTGCTGGGCCCACCACCTAATTTGCTTCAACATTTTACTTGGTGGCTAGGTATGCAAAGAGGCACAAGTAGGAGGTGGTCAAAGTTTAGTAAGGGGAAAGTCATGAAAACTAGGGGCCTCACGAATGACTGCACCACTGTCCTCGGGACATACTCCCTCTCCCCCCCCCACCCCACCCCCGGCTCTATCCCTCAGGGATTTCAAAACGGGAGGCAAGAAATAGAAACTGAAAAGCCAAGCAAAAAGCAGACAGCTTTAAGTTGCATAGTGGGTAAAATGTACCTTCTTACCTCACTCCCACTGAGAGCGCTTTCCACCAAAGCAGTGGTACTTAAACTGTGGTGTCATCAAAATCACCTGGAGAGCTTGTTAAAACAGATTACTGGGCCTCACCCCCAAGTTTGATGCAGTAGGTCTGGGGTGGTGCCTCAGAGTTTGGATGTCAGGTGACGCTGATGCTGCAGGTGCAGGGACCACACTTTGAGAACCACTGCACACATGGATCTCTAGCCTGTCTCTACCCTGGGAAAATCACGCCGGCTCCATCCCATAGTGTTAACAGACTCCAGGAGGTAGTGAGCATGCCATGCCCTGGAAGAGCAACACCTAAGTTTCTTGCAGAGACTTTCAGTAACCAAGTGGGTATAATGGAGATAGGCACCTGAGGCAGATGAGGAGAGCAACTATTTCTTGGCAGTCATGCCACTGATGTAAAAGTTGGGGAAACCTGATTGAGCTGCTAAGGATTATGGCAAAGGCCTTCAAAGAGAGGGCCAGTTCCTCCCCTCAGAAAGTCAACCTACTTCTTACCTGGTGAACAAAGACATCCTCCTTGGTGTCATTCCTGCAGAACAGGATGGATCATTAAGGGGGTGACTTGGAAACAGTGCTCACCTCCTCCACTGATGCTTCGAGAGTTGCCCATTCCTAACCAGTGGGTCCATCCTCTCCAGTATTCCACCACTACTTGGGGGTAGGTAGGGCCCAAAAAGAGGCAAAAGCTAGCAAGGCCTCCATGAGCTAGTACAGAGAGAACACTTACAGCCTCAGTAAAAAACCTGGTCTTCCTGAGGAAAAGAGGGAGGGAAGGAGGCAAAGTCACCTTGGAGAAGCTGGGACAGCTCCTAACCTGCCAAGTGCTCCACCCTCTACCCTAGGGGCACCTTAGAACCTGGTAGTGCTGCTGGGTATAACTGGTCCTAACACACCTTCCTCCCCCATGCCTCATCATGGTTGGAAAATTCCACTGTCCCCTTTCTTCTCCACTCAAGGAGGGAGAAAGTAGAGATGGGGGATAGAGCAGCATAACAGTTAGAAAAGGAAACAAGGTGCCAGGAACTTGCCCCCAAACAGCCTAGAGTGAACCCTTTTAACACATGAAAGACCAAGGGTGAGAAAAGTTTGTGTTCATTCTCTATCACTGCCTTGCCTATTACTAAGATTTACACCAGCACCTCAATAGGAAGAGGTGCTGTGGAGAGGTTTTCCTTTATAACCACCCTAGAGTCTTGTTTCCAAAATTAGGATGGGACCTTTCCCACGAACAAATGTTCTGACTTTAAAGTTTACACAAAGGTCAGCCTGCTAAGAGGGAACTAAGGGCTCCCAGGGGGGCTGGGCTGGGCTGGGTGCCCAGGCTGGGAAGGATCCCACTGAAGGAGACCTAGTTTTGCTCATAATCCAACACCACAGTCTCTTCGGGTGCTGGGAAGGAGTAGGGCTGCCAAACTGAAGGACGGCAGCAGGCTCCAACTGGACAGACTCCTGTCCTCAATCCAGCCTCAATCAGGTGGGGGATTCAGATGAGTCAGTAGCTCTTTTAGGGTGATGAGTTGTGAGAGTGCTAAGTGAGCACGCTGAGCAGGAAATCAGTGAGGATTCCAGCCTAGAGCCCTGAGGCACAGAAAGTACTTGCAAATTCTGCCCTGAAGCCATAGCAAACTATAACCTGGGCAATTCCAGGTGAGACAAGTTGGGTGGGTCAGAATCTGCTTTGCCAAATTCCCTAGATCATTAACCCTCTGTTGCCCTTGAAGATGTGAAGACTTCATCTTGCCATTAAGCACACATTTGTGCTATGGTTAAAGACTTTTTAATCAGTGTCAGGTGTACATTGCTGAGGGTAACCATGTGTGCCTCAGTGGGGATAGAGATGAGGTTGGGAAGGTCAATATGAAAGGCATCCATTCTACCACCCCCTCCTTGGGTTCCTTGGATACCTGTTGATGAATCCATAACCATTCCGGACGTTGAACCATTTGACAGTGCCCAGGACTTGGATTGCTGCCAGGCAGAGATGCAGTGGGGACAGTAAGACGAGGGGAAGAGATGGAGTTGGGCTCAGTTTTGAGACACTCCAAAATCTAACCTACCTCATTGTTAACTATCATTAAACTGAACTTCAAGTCAACCAAGTTTCACACAGTAGCTTGAAAATGGAAGCACCCACACAGGAGGACTCAGGCTTAAAAACCTTTCCAAAGCTAAGACATGTTTCCCAACATCCTTACAAATCCAGGCCCATCAATTAGAACTGGGTACTCACCTGGTCCACCAGGGGAAACAGGTCATGACTGTAGAGCTTCCCAGCCCTCCCAATGTAAGGGACCCAATTCACCTGCTTCCCGTACTCATCAATATACCTAGTACTAAGCTATGTCAGAGGAGCTCTGGCAGCTTAGTGGTTACGAATCGGGCTGCGAACCGCAAGGTCAGCAGTTCGAAACTACCAGCTGCTCCACGGGAGACCGATGAGGCAGGCGTTCTACAGCCTCGGAAACCCTGCACAGGGTCACTATGAGTCGGAACCGACTCCACGGCACACCGCCACCACCAAACTATGTCAACTGGACTAAGTTTCCCGCCCCATGGGCGTGGCCAGTCCCTGAGGCTTTACCTCCAACTCAAGTCCCTAGCAGGTCTTGCTAACTCCTAACCCCTCTGGAAGGCACATCACCACTCTCCTCCTAGAGAACGCACTTCGTTTGGTCCACAGTCCGTAACCCATCTAGTCGTCTGGTTCCCTGGGCCAGGACCGCTCCGGACCCCTCCCCCAACCCGCTCGACCCCCTTAGAGCCGCCGTGGCGCGCGCCTCCCCTCACCCAGCACCGGCTTGTCCGCCTGACTCCGGGTCGGGGGTGCGGGGGTCCCCGAGGCAGCCGTCGCTGGGTTGCCAGCAGTGCGGGGGCCGGGCACCGAGGGGGTCCCAGCAGCGGTGCCCGAGGCAGCTCCGCCCCCGCCCGCCCCGCCGCCTGCTTTCTGAGGCTCCCCCGCGGGCACCGGTACCACCACTGCTACCACCCCTGCCGCCGTCGCGGGCACTGTCGCCGCGGGGGCCGCTGTCGCCACCGCTGTCGCCTCCGCCTCGCTCATCCCGCCGGGTCCAGTACCGACCCCCGCCGCCGCCACCTCCTCCTCCTCCTCCGCCGCCGCCTCCACCACCGCCCCGGCCCCTCCCCCTGGCTCGCGAACCCGTCGCCCGGTTCGGTCCTCGAGCCCAGAGCCTCGCCCGCAAGCCGGCAGCCGGCCTAGAGCCGAAGCCAATTGCAGCCCGCGGTCTGGGCGTCCGGAGACCCCGCCTCCCGGTCACAGGCCAATCCTAGACGACTAACTCCCCGGTCTGCAGGCCGGCCCCGCCTCCTGGACCTCTCATCAAGGCTGACGCCACTGCCCACTGCCCTGTAAGTACACCTGGGCCCCGCCCTTCGACTTCCACGTGACCAACCCTCGTCCAACCCATTGGTCGATGGCCCTTTTCCCCTCCCCCCGCCCCTTTCCACCGGCCGCGGGAAATTAAACGGGCTTGTCGCGCCCCAACCGCCACCTGGCCTCTGCACGAAGGGCGGGGCCAGAGGCGTGGCTCCAAGGTTGCCCCTGACGACCGGGTGGGTGGTTGGTGGTAGACAAGAGCGCACCACCAGACTAGACGCGACCTCCATCCGAGAGGCGGATCCTGCCCGCACCCTGAGTAGACACCTTCTCTCAGCGCACTCCGACTCTCGGTACCTCTCCCTAGAGGACGCCCCCTCCTAGCCCTCTGGACTGTGTTGTCCGTCCTTCGGGAAAACGAAGCTGTGCGATTTCTCCTGCTCCCAGTTACTCGCACTTTCCCGGGCCCCTTCACTTTTATTTGGTGGTTTATTTTTTAGGTACATCTTAAATATAATGTACAAATCTTTAGTGTGCAATTCGCTCAGTTTTCATAAATGTCTCTATCCTTGTTACAAACCGTTTATTCCTCTATCGCCTCAGGAAGCTTTCTGAAGTCCTCTTCGTAGAGATCGCAGCCTCCCTCCACATCGCCGCTGCTCTTATTTCTACCACCATCGATTCGTTCTCTTCAAGTACCAACCTTGTAGCGCTCCTATCACTTTATCCTATATGTTTCTCATGACATTTAAAAATATATCCTATTCGTTTGCTTATTTATTCTGTACCCCACCACACACAGAGTAAATAACCTTGTCATTTTGTAAGTGTGCCTGATTTCTGGACCAGTGCCTGGCACGACGTTATTGTTTTTGTTCTAGTTAGGTGTAGTGAAGTTTTGTTGTGTTGTGTTTCCAACGAGCGGCTAGGGGGTTTGAACCTTAGACCCTGAGGTTAGTAGTCCTACTACTAACCTGCAGCGCCACAAAGTAAGTGCTTAATGTTTACTGAGTAAATGTTGTTAAGTGCCATCGAGTCGATTCCGACCCCTAGCAATCCTTTATAGGGTTTCCAAGGAGCAGCTGATGAGTTTGAACCACCGACCTTGCAGTTCCAACGACTTTGTAGTCTGACTCATTAGCCCACAGCGCCACACCAGGACTTAATAAGTAGATAGCTTCTATTCCACACTGGAGTCATGGTGTGGTGCTGTGCGTTAATGCGCCAGACTGCAAAGCCGTTTGAACTGCAAGGTTGGCGGTTCAAGCTCACCAGCTGCTCCTCGGACAGGGTCGCTATGGGTCGGAACCGACTCGACGGCACTTAACAACAATTCCACAGGTAAGACTGAAGCCCGGTAAGAGGCTTCTCCCAAGTTCCTCAGGAATCTGGGAGGTCCAGTCCCGGAACCTCAGTCTCCCTCTCAGAATAATGCCGCCCCAACGCAGGGTGGTGGTGCTGGACAGTGCGTATTTTTAGCCACGAAAACACGACCTGGGTACCACACATGCTCCCCTGTGCTGCTAGTCCTCTAATGCGCTTCCCTAGTCTGGGAGTCAGCGGCCAGGCCCGCGAGCTCTCCCGGTCCCGGCGCGCCCTCTACTGGCGGCTTCCGGAGCCGCCGGACCGGTCTTCCACTCCAGCCACCGGGAAACCCTTATAATAGGGTCGCTATGGGTCGGAACTGACTCGACAGCACTTAACAACAACAAACAACATCCCAGTGCATCCCAGACAGTGGACAGGAAAAGAGAAAATATGAGAAAATAACAAAATCGTAAGAACTGTAAAATGAATGATTATCCTCATTCAGCCTAAGAGCTGACTTACCCTGAGCTCCCTGAAGTATTGGAGAAATAGGAGTCCCCAGGATTCGCCCTCCATAGACTCATCGGCTGGGGGAAGACAAATAAGAAATCTCAGTGTGACTTTGGCAACAAAAAAAATCATATGAAGTTACAGAAGGAACTCAGATGTGGAAACTACAAGGTTAAGGGGTAAGATGAGAAGAGGCTCACAGGAAAATTGTCAGGAGATGCCTGAAAACAATTAGTCCAATGAACCACAAGAACTAAATGGTTTCTGGCTATCATTAACAACTGCTCTGAAACGGATCACATTAGGAGGTCCTGGATGTTGCTGTTAGGTGCCATCGAATAGGTACTGACTCATAGCTCTGGTAGCGTAGTGGTTATGAATCGGGCTGCGAACCTTAAGGTCAGAGGTTCGAAACTGCCAGCTGCTCCGCGGGAGAAAGATGAGGCTTTCTACTCCCGTAAAGATTTACACCCTCGGAAACCCTATACAGGGTCGCTATGGGTCGGAACCGACTTGATGGCACATAACAACAACATAGCTACCATATGCACTACATAACAAATCACTGCCCGATCCTGGGCCAATCTCACAATTGTTGCCACGCTTGAGCCCATTGATGCTGCCACTTTTCCAGTCCATCTCACTGGGGGTCTTCCTCTTTTTCTCTGACCCCCTACCTTACCAAACATTATTTCCTTCTCCAGTGACTGGTCCCTCCTGACAATATGTCCGAAGTATGAGAGACAAAGTTTGGCCAAGCTAGCCTACAAGGAGCACTCTGGCTGCACTTCTTCCAATGCAGATCTATTGGTTCTTTTGGCAGCCCATGGCACTTTCAATAAGGAGGTCTTGGATAGGGTGGGAGAAAAATGTGGAACAAAGCTCAATCACAAAAAAGACCAGTCTTATTGGTCTGATACAGACCTATGGCACCCCTGAGGAGTGACTGGTGGATTTGAACAGCCAACCTGGTAGTTCAAATCGATCCCATAGTGTCACACCAGGACTCCATCAGCTAATGAACCATTTGAGATAAAAAAAGGCAGCATTTACCCAAGGACGAAGTTCAGAAAAAGTTAGGAAAGGAGAAATGGAAACAGGAAACACAGGGAGAAAGTGGGATAAGTGATGTTGCATTGTGGTGACTAATCAATGACCAAAGAAAACGTGTATGAATTGTGTGGAAAGCTGATCTGCTCTGTAAACGTTTACCCAAACCCATTATGTCAGGAGAACCGGGGTGGGGGCCACAGGGAAATGCACAGCAGCTAGATGACAGGGAGAATGCAAACACAAGGACTGACTACAGTTCAAGCCCACCAGTTGCTCCTCAGAAACCCTATACAGGGTCGCTATGAGTCAAAACCAACTCCTCAACACTTAACAACATCAGAGAAATGTAACTAACTGCCTCTTTAAGTTGAGGACTTGTACATACAAACTGCTGGTTATTTAGCTATTTTATCCGGAGTCCTGGTGTGGTGCCTTGGGTTAATGTGCTGGACCACAAAGTCGGTTTGAATCACAAGGTCAGAGGTACAAGCTCACCAGCTGCTCCTTGGAAACCCTATACAAGCTCCCTATGAGTCGGGACCTGTCTTGAAGGCACTTAACAACATAAAGTGAATGGAGTCCTGGTGAGGCACTGTGGGATAAAGCACTGGACTGCAAGTTTGGTTTGAACCTAAGGTTGGTGGTTCAAACTGACCAACCACAACAGAGGTAACAAGGAAGCGTGGTGGCTCCATATGATAAGCACTGGACTGCAGACTACAAGGTTCACAGTTTGAGCACACTAGCGGCTCCTTGGGAGAAAAAGACTTTCTGATTCCACAAAGATGTAAAGCCTCAGGAACCTATACAGGGTTGCTGTGAGTTGGGACAGACTGCACAGCTCCCAACAACAGAAGTAACAAAGGTTCGTGCATTCTACAGGAAGGCTTCTGCCTCTTTCTCTTACTCCCTTTCCATTTGCTCTTGCACACCTGAAAATTGTCTTTCACCCATCAGCCTTTACTACTAAAAATGTACCTGCTTCCTATTACTCTATTTATCTCCATCAATTTAACACCAAATTTCTTGGAAGCAATTTTTATTATCTCACTTCCTCATCCTTTTTTTCACACCCTGTGTACCCTAATCTGGTTTCTGCCCCCACGACCTCACACTCACACTACAAGATTTCAGCAATGGTTCACAATCCCTTCCTAATGGAGACATTCAGTGGATGGATATTGATTCTTTTCTACTCCACCAAGTGAAGTGTAAGGAGCCTTGGTGTCATAGTGGGTTAAGCATTGTGCTGTAAGGTTGGCAGTTCAAACCAACCAGCTACTCCTTGGGAGAAAGCTGAAGCTGTCTGCTCCTTTACAGATTTGCAGTCTCAGAAACCTTAAAGAGCAAGGTCTACTCTGTTGCCATTAACTTGGCGGCAGTGAGTTTCGTTCTGTTTTGTTTTTTCATGTTTTATTGTGAATTATATGATAGTTTACATTGGAGAACTTTAGTTTTACATTCATTCTATTGTATATTGTATATCGTTTCATTACCATGGTTACAATCCCCTCCATGCATCATCAACCAACCAAAGGGTATATACACTACTCTCCCCCGCCCCCCCAGTCTTCAGCACACAGTCGCTCTCCCTCTCTGGGTCTAAAGTCCCCAGCTGCTCCATCGCTCCACGTCATCATCTCTGCCTCCATCTCAGGCATCACTGCTTCTCTGGGTAGGGTCCCCACTCTCGGCTCTTCTCCATTGATGGTCCTAGGGACCTCCGCTCCTAGACTGGCAAGTTAATCACTCCCTTCCTTGCTATAAAACATCTACCTTTACATTTCCGACCCTCACAATCAGTCCTGATAACAATTATTCACTATTGTATCATAAGATACCCGTCTGCATTTCATTTCATCAGCTCCGCCTAGACAGATTGGATACTACTCACTGGAGATTCTGCCTTT